CCCCCCCCCCGCCATTCATTATGAACGCAGCCTAAATAAAAATATTTGATTTCTTCGGTAATCAACTGATTGTTGTCCAGTCCTGACAGCGATTTGAGTTTCCGCCCACTTTCGAGGAAGTAACAAAACACCTTTTTACAACCAAAAAGTATTACATATTTTTTCATTTATTCATTATGAATATAAGTTTGTGAAAGATACACAGGTAACCCAACTACCATGAATACGTTTCAAAACTTTAATTTTTGAACTATCGAGCCCCAAGACGTCGACAGGCTGTGACACATCCCTGTAATTGATGTATACACAACACTGAAGTCTCATTGTCTTCCCCGTGAGTTTCTGAAGAGTAGCCGGTGTCCTCCTAGTGAAGAGAAAAATTCTTATTCAGTTGCCGGTCTCTTTTAATTGTTTGTAAAGAAGCGAAAGAAAAACCGGAACTTGTGAAAAGCATTGGCCAAGTCGGGATCAGGGGCGGATCCAGGAATTTTAGAAGGGGGGGGGGGGGTGACTATTACTAAGGTTTTACCAGGAACTCGAGAAAAAGGGGGGGTTACTGTTACTGTGACTAGTCACCTACTTCACCACCCCTGGATCCGCCTCTGGGGTTCGGACAATGTCCATGATCATGACTCACGATGATCAACCTCTCAGTGGCTCCCATTTCTCTGAAGCGTGACTAATATATAACGAACCATAACGTTTACTGAAATGTAGATTTATCGTGATTTACTGCCTTTTTATATTTATATTAATTTTAATCAAGTGATGGGTGTCCAGCCCAGGCATAGACATCAATAACAACTTATCGAGGCAACTGTTGTCTTTCTAAAAATATACTACAAATATTGATTCGCAAAATATAACTCGTTTTCTCTAGAAGCTTAACATCCTTATAAGCCAAAGTCTTCTGGCTTACTGAAAATTCTACAATGTGAAGTCTTTGTTAACTAACAAAGTGTAGGATTGAAGAAGAACTGTGGGCTAGTGTCATCCTGCAAATCAGCTACTGTACAACATCAGTATCATACATAATCCACCTACATGGGCATCATAATTCATACAGCTATCTCCTTTACACATATTGATAAATGACTAGCGCATACTAGGGGTCTCCTCCGATACCTTGAATTAATCTAATGAAGTTCTTGACTTTTGTTGTAACTCACAGTTTGTGCACAGTATAAAATGATAATTGCTTTCCATGTCAACTCAACCGTGACTAGATGAAAGAGTTTGTTAGGGAAGCGGTTTGATAGCTTGATTAGTTGCTGCTTGAGCTTCTTCGTATGGTGGGGGGTTTACGTTAGGTATTGGTAGATTCTGCTGGATTTGAGGTGTGATCTGAGAAGGATTCATAGAACTTCGAGATGTTGTGTGAGCTTCGGGGTATACGGGAGGAGGTGGTTGGTCCATGGCCGCGTTGACTAAATCCTCGTATTTTGGGAGATCAGGTCCTGCTGTCGTTTCCTCGTATGGAGGAGGCTCCTGAGAGCAGCTGTTGTGTAAGTTTTGGAGTAAGTCTTCTTCGCTTAGGAAAGGTGCTTCGCCATCTGGAGGACGGTTGACGGTCTGACGAATAATGTGGTCTTCATCTCGAGTCACGGCTATTATGACTATTATACTCGGTTCCTCATATAAGTTTGTTCGGCTGTTGTTAGTCGCTGCTGGAGGTTGCACAATACAGTTTTGCTGAAAATGATTTAGCCTCGGCCTGTATCGAACCCATCGGAGACAAACAATTAAACTGGTTAGAAGTATGCTAACAACCACAGTAGCAATAAGGCCTCCTGAAGAAAATCCTGAAGACTGGTCGGTGGAAGTATAATCATAATCATTATCATTATAAGAAAACGTCGGCCTATCGATATTTGGCACAGTGAACTCTTTGAAGTTGGGAAGAGTGAACTCGTCGTAATCAGGAACAGTAAATCTGTTGTAGTCAGGAAAAGAAACCTTTGGATAATAGGTAGGAATCAGCTTCTTAGTGTTATGATTTCCATAATAGTAGCACATCAACGAATCCGCAAACTGATTATTCTAAACGGTGTCGTCTGATTCGATTCAGTGCTTACCCTTCCGCGTTGATAATGGTTCACAATGACGTCATCCAGTCTGCTGTTTGGTTTCGTGAAAACATTTCTTTGGCCAACCAGGTTTTAGAAATACCCCTAACACAATCCATTTGGTGATATCAAACACACAAAAAACAGGGTAAAACAGCAAATCTTTTGGTAATGCACTAGTCAATTGAAACCCCCGCGGCTAGCGGGGCACTGAACGGGGACGTGACGCGTTTTTGATGTGCTTTTAAGAGCATGATTACACCGGGGTTCGGGTATTTAACTAATGGTTTTCTCAGCTGGGAATCGAGCGGGGATTTTAACGCTCGTTTGAATATGTAAGGGCCTGGAAACAAGAGGTCGGCCATCTTGAAAAAACACCAAGAAGGCGTTGTGATTACAAGCACAGGCAGCCCGTAGCCTAGTACAAAGCAGTATGATGTCCTACACAAAACACATGCTCAAACAAACTTCATAGCAGTTTCTACCTATATACTTTTACACTGAACTCCACTGATAAGAACCTTTCTTAGAATTGTAGCCTAATTAATAGGTTCTTATGTGGAGAGGTCCACAACATATGGTGAGAATTTTAGCCTAACAGGTTCTTAAAAAAACCCAGGTTCTTATACGAGGGTTTTGTTCAGTCGTTTCGGTCAGTTTGAATGTAGAATCAGATCATGATTAATCTATTAAAACTACTGCTTCGCAATTTACAAGCAAAACGCTTTCGCACGATTTGAGGTTCAGCCCGGGGGGGGGGGGGGTACTACCCCCCCAACTTGGGTAGGGGTGTGCCGCCAGGACCTCAAAACCCTGACCCTATCCCAGACCTAAAATTTTGATTTTACATACCCTACCCCAGACTAAAACTAAGAATTGTACACCCTATCCCAGACTAAAAGACGGAAAATACGGTTTTACAATCGATTGCAATCAATATTTACTAACATTTTTATTAATAGACAAAAAAGAAAAAAAAAAAAAAAATAGCGCGCGCAATTAATTCTCCCTTCGTAACGCGTGCGCTCCTAGCAACTGATACATTTAACTATACCACGCGCACATTGTTATGTTGCGTGTTTCTTGTAAAACTGTCACAACCGTTTGCCCTGATGAAGAGCAAGATGCTCGAAAGCTTGGCTTGATTTATAATTAAAAAGCTGATGAATCATAACTATCATGAACATTTTTATTGTTTTTGGTCGGCAGAAAGCGTAGCCTATTCGCCAGACAAAAATGACCAAATCGTTAACCCTATCCCAGACTAAGATAATACCCTATCCCAGACAAAATGTCCAAAAATGATACCCTACCCCAGACCCAAAAGCCGAAAAACCATACCCTATAGGGCGGCACATACCCGTATAGCAAATATAGGCGAGTATACTCCCCCGGGAGGTTCAGAGCCCATGAAAATATTGAGCATTGAATATTTAGTGCATGGAACACACAACAATTGGCTCTGTGTAGCACAAGAATTTGAATGTGAATGTGCCTCCGACTACCGGGGAAAATGTCTGATTTTAACACCACTCAAATGTTAAATTACCCGGTATTTCGCGGGGGTCGGGGTTTCAATTGACTAGTGCATAAACTTATACAAAATCGTCTTGCTAATGAAGAAAATTCGTCACGCATAGACTGAAGCCGTTTTGACAGTCAACTCGACCTTTTTGTGTTTTATATTGACAGAGGGCAGAACGGTATTATCCTGATTGGCTGTTGATGGAGAGCCTTGCATGAATAGCCAAGATACATGACTGCAATAAATACATATGTTTTGGACCATGAATGCCACATTATCATGGGATCTGTACCCGGCTACTTGGTTCGTTCGCTACAAATCGGGTCGGTGGGTGCCGAGAGACGTACGGAACGGAAGTTATCTCGAGACTTTGACTTCGCAACAATAAAAAAGGTGATTGACAAGCAATTGAAGTTTTACATGGCCGTAACCAAGGGGGGTGCATTTGGTGGGCATCAGAACTCCCCCCGCCACCCCTCTTCCGCAAAAGTTGAAGGTCTGCTGACTCATTCATATCCCCCCCTCTCCCCCCTCTTTGTCCACTGCAAATGGCAGCATTCACCACCAAACAACCATTATTGGTTTATTGGATTAATCATTCATCTTTTTTTTGTTTGCTTTTTGCTTTGTTTCTGCAAATCTTTAAACCACTTTTCAAAATGGCTGTTACTTTAGACTAGCTAGTAGTACGGTATGCAGCTCATTAGCATATTAGCAAACTCGGTTGTGGGAAAACGTTCTAATAAGTATGCTAATATTCTATAAGCGGCATACCGTACTGCCAGCTAAATTATACGGAAATAATCTGCATGAAGAAGTCTTAATCCTCATACATCACAGCATTAGCATATGGCATGGTAAAACCTTTATAACATTCGAGAAGCTGTGCTCGGACTTTTTTTTCCAGATTATTCAACATGTTACCCCATATAGAATCAATACTGTGAATATTGTCAGAAGGGTGATAGGCACTCTAAGCACTAAATAAACAATAGATTATTTTAATACTACATGTATAGGTTGCACTTTTTTAGTGCTATCTTAGTTCTTACCAAGTTGCTTTATTCCATCAACGAATAAACCTCTGGTTGGAGCACAGGAAGTCCATACAAGCTTTGAGAACTGAATGTAATTTAACAAAAAAAAGAAAAAAAAAAGCTAATTTTTACTCACATGAAGTGTTGTTTACATCATCCCAGTTCTTTAGTAGTGATTTCGAGCCATTTTATAGAATTTTTGTTTTAAATCGCTAAAATGGCTCAAAATCACTACTAAAGAACAAGAATGACAATGTTAGCTTTTATTTATTTTATTGTTATTTTGTTTGTTAAATATACCTATCCCGAATTCGCTTGACTGGTCATGAAACAATGGTTTCAAGTCGAGTTTGAACTTGATGAATAAAAGAATCAAGTTCAGTCTTGACTTCAAACCATTGTTTCGTGGTCAGTCAAGCGAATTCGTGAAAGGTCTATTACATTCAGTTCTCAAAGCTTGTATGGGCTTCCTGTGGTTGGCATAAAAAAAGTAATAAAAATAGCTTACATCACAGTACCTAGCACTAGAAGCTTACTGATAATATTTGTACACATCAAGATAATTCACAAATGCATAAGATATAAGATGCACTTGGCCTGTTTGTAATTAGTTCTAATATCAATCAGAGAGGACCAGTGTCCTCATACATTCTCTATATCATTATGTGAGTTCCTAACAGCTTCAGCATAGCTTGGTGGTGGTGGTTCTACCTGTATACTGTCAATCATCTCTAGAGAATGATAGGGGGGCGGTGCATCATGATGTAAGGGTGGACTTGGAGGAGGAGTTCCAGGTTGCTGTCGTTCATTTTCTACTTCATGAGCTGCAGGGATGCTCATGGAAGGCTGTCGACGTCTTCTTGCACACCCACAGTAAAGCGTACAAGCAATACAACTTCCAATCAGCACTACTGCTGTAAAGCCAATTATCGAAGCTGGGCTGAAACTGTGAGAGTCTTCTCTGGAGTTTTCTGGTACTTCACATTCTCCATTTTTACAARACATTGGGCATAACTTACACTTGGATGGGACACATTTGTAGTTAAAACACTCGCCGTACTTTTCATGCAATGTGTTGGCGTTGTAACAGTCTTGGTCGGTGAAACAGGAAAGTGTTCCAGGTCCAGCAGCCTTCGAGCAATATCCTTCAACACAAAACTCACTAAAACCGCAGTCCCTTGGATACTCACAGTAGCCATCACAGTTTTGCCAAGTACTACAATAACGAGTGCTGCCACCAATACAGCAGTTGTCGTATCCCGATCTGTTGCAGTCAAAGTCGTATTTACAAGATTTATTCGAGTGCGATGACTTCACGAAACATGAAGTGGTACAAAATGCGAAGACAGCCAACAAAACGCGAGATGAAAAAATTAGGCTCATCATCGCTGAAATGCCTCAAGAAAAACCCAAAGAGGTTGTATTAACAGTTCATAAGTCCTTGAACGTTTCGTATGAGTTTAGATCTATCTCGATTCCAAAACGTCAAGTTCGATCGCGATGGCTCGACCGCCATATTGGAATCCTTTATATGCCGCCACGGTAGAGGCTATTTCGCGAGACTCAAAACGACATCCCGAAAATGACGTCACCTTCGTGTTCCCGACGGATTCGCTCCGTCGTACCGACTCGTGACGTGACCAACGACAAACAAGATGACGCCGATGCGTTTCTACTACCTTTCTCTGTGCTTTTCTTATAGCTTTTCTTTTCTTACATGAGGACTACCTCCAAGTTCCGTACAAAAATAAAGGTGAAATTTTAGGCAAAGTATTTTAACAGCAATTGTTTGCAAAATCGTAACAATGTTTTATTATCGTGTCATTTTGGGACTCACGAAATAGTTGTTTAAAACTTTGGACGTTACTTCATAGTTCATAGTCTGAAGTAGGGCAGGGCAGCCAAACCTTTTAGTATTTTGAACCAGAAATCTTCGCTTTTTAAATGAAAAATGATCACCATTGTCCTGCAAAAGTGTGGATAGATTTCTTTAGAGAGATAGTTAAGAGAGACATTGACTTGTTTCTAT